GGTAAGCAAGTAAGTAGGTGAGTAAGTGGGTACATAAGTGGGTGGGTAGTTGGGTAAGTAAGTGGGTAAGTGGGTACGTAAGTGGGTAGGTAGGTAGGTAGGTAGGTAGGTAGGTAGGTAGGTAGGTAGGTAGGTAGGTAGGTAGGTAAGTAAGTAAGTAAGTAAGTAAGTAAGTAAGTAAGTAGGTAGGTAGGTAGGTAGGTAGGTAGGTAAAAAGGCACATTTGATGGATCCGATTCCCCAAATGTATTAATACAAAGCTTAAAAGGCTTCTTTGCAAATGAGGTCATCTCCCTCTTCAGCTGAACTGTCCGCTCTATAAAAAGGTTTGTCCTGTCAAACCAAATTCATCAGGAACAGACACGTAGAATGGTCTGAAATAAAAAGCACTGAGGCAGATTCTTGCTTCAGTAGTGATATAAAGGTTTTTACTTTAGTGTATGCAGAGACATTTTAACACAGTGGTTTATGCGTGTAGTGTCAAAACTTTCACTTTAGTGCTGCAGACTGAAATGAATGATGGTCAAAAGTATCTTTTTATTTATCAGATGATGTAAAATTACTGTAATTTTTACAGGATTAAAGAGAAACTTGAATTTCTGTTTTTCACGTTGATCGAAACAAATCAAAGCCTTTTCAACAGAGTGGAACCGTGTTCTCCGTCACACGGAACGGATGCTGCTTCAGCTCGATGAACTGGCACGCTGAGGCCTTTCCCTTCCCAAATCCGGACTCTCCAGGGGGACGCTGGCATCTTGCAAAAAGCTCAACATGAAGACCATGAAGATGTGGTCAATGCAACAATCATCTGTTTCTAACACACACACACACACATGAAAACAAAGAGCTCTTTATCCGAGTTATTTCACAGGATGGGAGGATTTTCAAGCTGATGGCTGCTCTCATAACCCCACTATGATTGTTAAAACACAAATTATAGGCTTGCATATTTTAAACACACTGTGCAAAAGTTTTAAACTAACCCTTTTTATCTTTATGCCTTAATGTACCTCCAAATATTCAGAAGTTGTTTTAAAGTGGTTGCGTTGGAGGTTTATTGTTATTATTTTTTAGCTTTCTGAGCTTTTCGTTGGTCTAATGGCTGATTTTTCACTCATTTTTAATCTGGTTCTTTTTACTGACCATGACTGCATAATATGTAGGGTGAGCCTGAAAAACTAGACAAGTAGATAAAAGAAGAAGTGTCATGTCTGAAGAAAAACCAAACAGCAAAGGAAGAGTATCTGAAAAACACGTCTTTAATTAAAAAAAATAAAAATCCTGCAAATCCTGAAGCAGGATCTGAGCTGCATCATTCTTCAAAAAGTTTAACTTAAAGAAAGTTTTTGCCTAATAGTTTTTGGAAATCACTTTGTTGGTAATAAAACACAATTCTATGTAACAGTCTGATATTTGGTATTTTCTACAAATCTTTGTCATACGTGTAACAAAGTGCCTGGAGAGCCAACTTAAATAAAACTGGTTAATTTCCAAGTTGTGTCAACGCATCACTGAGTTATCCACTGAGCTTAAGATCATTCAAAGGTATTTTTGTTCTTCCACCAGCGTGTCCCGCACAGCCAGAAAACTTCCAGGTTTTCTCTCAAATTTCTGGAGTACAGAAAGATACCCAATCTTCCAGACTTCAGTTACATTTGAGCTCAAAACGTTTGCTCTAAAACAAGAAGCGACGGGTCTTTTAAACTTATCATAGCCCAAACATAAACAGCAAAGAAATATAAAAAAAAATCATGTATCACCATAATTAAAATTTTTTAAAGACACCACCTTAAGATTTAACCTATCAAGTATTTGTTTGAGTCTTATTTTTTAGTCTGCTTCTTTCTGCCTCTCTTGAAGACACTCGTTGTAATGTCACAAAGACTTGTCAAAAATATTCATAAAGTAAACAAACAAAAGCTGCACGTTGTTTTTTTTTTAAATACACATAATGTTTAACGTGTCTTTAAATATACACTTCGTAGTTTTGTCAGCTACAATTTGTTTACCTTTGGAAACAGCTGAAGTGACTGACAACAGGTCAACAATGACAAAGTCCATGAAAGAGTCATTTGGGATCAAAGAGTCCGACACGTTATGCAAATAAAACAATGTCTGGTCAAAACTGCAAAAATTACTCGATTTGAATGACGAGCTAGACATTTGTCTTCAGAATTATCTTAACTCTTCTTTAGCCACAGATTTATTCTTATATTTCCACCTAAACACTTTCCCAGAGAGTCTGATTCTGATGTGTTTATTTGGGTCATGTGACCCAAGCTTCCAGTTGTTGCAACCTAGTGCTTGTTTTGGTTGAGTGCAGACCCACATTTCAGAACTGCATATCAATATATCTGGAAAACTTCTGGAGTGAACTCCTTCAAAGTGCACCACTTGATATAGTTCAGGCTAACCTTTTATTTTTAGTTTATTCTCATAGTTTGCAATGCATATCTTTAATGACAGCCGTCAGAAAGTGATAGACAGGTGTGCGGTTACCATGGAGACCCTAATTATCTCGGTACGAGGCGTATTCTGGTTAAACGTGACTTCTTTTTTTCTTATCTTAAATTAAAACAGAATTAATGAAGTAATTCTGGTTAGTAGCAAAGGTTCTTTAAAAAAAATGTTTTGGAAATGTTCTAGTTTTCAATCTGCGCGTGAGCTCCCATCAGGTGCTGATTGTAAACAGCGTAGTGCGGAGAGTGACGCTTCATCCTCCTCCTCATCCTCATTATCAGGCACAACAAAACATTGGTGCTGCATCACCACCCTCCCCACCTGAATCATCCTGTTCGGATCTGGCCCTGAAACGATGAGCTAACAGTAGATCATCACCAGTCACTGCGAAAACACATTACCTCACTGGTCGCCATCATAACCAGAGCGCAGGAGTCCCGTTTTCAGCCGAACCTGCCCGGTCCAGTAGGACTGCTTCAAGGCAACACCCCCTCCGTGACGGAGGGCGACCGAACAGCCTGCTTCACATAGGGGGGGGTCGTGTCATTGGCTGTGTAAGGCAGTCCCATGCAACATTTAATCAAATCACTCTCGTTTGAACTTGAGCCTGTATGGAAGCCGAGAGAGACATTTCTTTACAATATTTCAAGATATCATCTCCTGTTTTCTTCAGCTATTGGGTTATGATATTTAATTTTTATTTGAAGAATGAATGTCCTTTTTTTCCTTGTGATTAAGTCCAGCTTTAATTAAAACAACTGGCTAAGGTCAAACGTCAATTTGAGATTTTAATCTATGTTTTTATCCTCAACTTTTTTACCTGACTTCATCTGGTCCATCACGCTTCATTTTAATTAAAAAACATTAATTAATTAATTAAAAAAAATCCCAGAACATAATCATTGGACATATACAACTGATGAACGTATGAGTCAACCTAATGCAAGATGGCCACCACAGCCCACTGACCTTGAAAACAGAAAAAAATCAATTTTTATGTAATTTTAAAGACACCATGCTAAATTTAGTTATGATTGTTACTTAAAGGCATTCATAACATACTTTGCATGCTCCTTGTACAGGATTTTTTTCGTGTTGGAGTCAACCCTATTTGTCTGTCAGAAAAACACTTTTTGAACCACTGGGCAGATTTTTATGAAACTCTCAAAAAGTACGAGCTATAGCATATTTGTGTAAGCTAATGTCGATTAGTGAATGGTTGATTGATTAGCTGGTGACTATCATGAATTCAGAATCAGAGAGTCAGAGAGATTGATTTGTCATACACACCACGAGATTATGTGCACATGGTCCCAATACATCCCACATGAAAATGTAAAAGAAAAACAGTAATAAGATCTAAGATTAAGATATGAACTAAGAAAAATGTTAAACTAAAAATACACTAAGCACTAGTAGTATAGAAACCATACGCTGAACAGCAGCACGAACATGAGTCTGTGTGAGCAGATGAGCATGAATGAACACAGCAACATGAAATAGATCAGCAGCAACATGAAACAGATCAGCAGCAACATGATGTGATTTTTCACAGTGATTATTCTGGTTAGATTTTCATGAGTCTAACAGCCTCAGGGTAGAAGCTGTTCCTCAGTCTAGTGATTCTACTTAATGCTCTTCAACCTCCTTCCTGAGGGGAGCTGGGCAAATAGTGTGTGTGCTGGGTGAGTGGGGTCCTTCATGATGCAGGTGGCCCTCTTCCTGCATCTGGGAGGTGTAGATGTCTGTGGTGGTGGGGAGGCTGACTCCAACAGACTTCTGTGCAGCCTTCACAGAACTGAGTTGACTCCAAAAGGGATTCACTTGTAAATCCAGAGAATAATATATTTTTGCTAACAGATAGATTATGCTAATGAAGGCTGTCGGATGAGTGGGCCCCAGTGGGAGGCAGATGCAATTATTTTGGGGGGGGGGGGGGGGGCTGTGCCCCACATTGCCCCCCTCTAAAACGAACTCCTGTCTGAAACATTTTATTCAAGATTCGACAAGTGATTGCGTGGATTTAATCCAAATTCGTTTAGATGAAAAATAAAAGTCAAAAAAGAACATTTATATATATATATATATATATATATATATATTTTTTTTTTTTTTTTTTTTTTTTTTTATGGGTCCCACTGCAAAATAATACAAAATAATATAGAATACAAAATAATGCAACACTGAAAATCAAACCTGTGAGCACCATAGCAGTTTATTAACTTTAATCTCTTCACCCAACATGGAGTGATTTAATGAACTGTAGCAGCCTGTTTAGACGGGGAGTGTCCACACGGGACCGATTCGGATTATAGTGTCCGGAAGAGGCAGCAGGTTGGAGAACAACAGAGGAGGGGGGGTGAGGTGGAGCAGCCGGGCTTTTACCCTTCAATCTGCACATTTTCATTGAGTTTGCTGAAAAATGTCTTTGAGCCAAGAATCCGTGCTGTCCTTCCTGCTGGAGCGCGGGGGTCAGGCGAGGAACTGGGATCTGGTGAACCATTTTCGGAGCCTCCTCAGCAGCGGGGCTCCGGCGGAGCAGCAGCGCAGCAGGGAGCTCTTCAAGCGGCTGGTGAACAGCGTGGCCGTGGTCCGACACAGCGACGGCGTCAAGTTTGTTGTCGTCAGGAAACGATACCAGGACTTTGTCAAAGATGAGAAGCCGAGCCCAAACAACAACCCGAGTTCTGCAGCGGAGTCGGACGGGATGGTTAACGCAGAGGAACAAAGGAGCCGCGCGCGTGGCTCCTCCTCACATGAGGAGAGCGTTCAGAGGAAAAGCTCGACCGTGCTCAAAGTGTTGAATGTCTCCGGGGAGCAGCCGCGCAGATCAGGAGCCGTGTTCGCTGTCATAGCAGTCAAATCCCCAGACTCTGCAGCACATCAGAGCTCCCAACCAAAACCTCCTCCCATGCCTGCTAAGAGCTTTTCCACTTGCACCTTGAAAAGTTTGGCAACCAAGCAAACAGAGGGCATCGACCCCCCAGGGTTCCCCCTTTTGCGGCCCCAAAGTAAGAGCACAAAGCATCCACATGATGCCACAGAGACGGTGCCTTTGGAGCCTTTAGCTCACCAGTGGCTCGTGAAGTGTGCTGCTGGACTGTGGGGGTCCGTGTACGCCTTGCTGCTGAGGGACACACGCCTGGTCCACAGGAAGGACTTCATGTCAGGCTTCACAGCTCTGCATTGGGCCGCCAAGGACGGCAACGTTGACGCGATCCACAAACTCCTGGAGATTTCCAGCCGAAAGGGCACAGGCGTGCACGTCGACAGCAAGTCGCACGGAGGATACACACCTCTGCACATTGCGGCCATTCATGGCCACGCCGAGGTCGTGGCTGTACTTGTGCAGCGTTATGGAGCCAGCGTAAATGAAAGGGACAACGATGGCAAGAAGGCCCTCCACTATCTGGAGAAGGGAGCGTCGGCTGAGGTCAGAGGGCTCCTGGGTGGACTGCTGCAGGACAGGGAGAAAACTGAGGACGAGGAGGACAAAGAGCAGCACAAAGGCTTCAACACCATCAGTAAACTCTTCCATCCTCACTCAGGGAGGAGACACAAGACAAATAGGTTTGCTCATGAGTGGTGAAATGGATAAAACTGATGCTTCAGACGCATGTGACCGTACTGCAGCTAAAAGAAAGCTTGAAAATGTATTGTCATTGCCTTATCAGTGACTACAGTAACAATATCACTGCTTGGACCACTTCAAGTTTGTTCATCTGGTCAATCCAACAGTCTCTCACTGGCCTTAAAGCCCACACTTAGGTTAGATAATCGTGCAGAAAAGAAAGTGGGAAAAATGTGCCTTTGTCACAATTTACATCAACATCGCAATATTAAACAATATTATTGTACATTGCAAGTTTTTCCAAAACTGTATAGCCTTGATTAGTACAGTGTATCACTGTCGTATAATAGATTGTAGTTTAGCTACATATTAACAAATACTGAGTTATAGTGCACAGTTGGACCTTATTAATATTAAGTAATAAATCTATAGATGTAAAACCAGAGGGAATTGAGGACTTTGCATATTCATATGTACTGTGCTGCTTTAGTCAACCTCTGTATACCAACATGGTTCAAGTCCAATTATTGTATGCAAAACAGCATGGACATATGACTGTTTCTTTTTTTAAATATTATTTTTTGTAAGCTGGAGATTGTGATGGATGAGGACAGTCTACTTTTATGGGTCAAAATATGTTATAAGAAGACCTAAAGACTCACAACACTAAACCTGATCTTATTTTTATAAGCATTTTTTTTTTAACAGATTAACTATGTGGATATTTTAAAAGTTACTGAGTGTGTTCATGAATCTCTCATTCAATAACAATAAATAGCATTTGACTAAAACAAAAACTTGTCTTGATTTTACAGTTTTAAATATCACGTGCTGCCAAAAGGCAACGGCGGGCAACAATGTTTTTGCTCGTGTCTGGACGTGTTGACGTGTCTGGTGCCAAAATATCTTGTGAGTAACTGGATGTATTTCAATGAAACTAAGAAAAGTAATCAATGGACGCACCCTACAGCTCGTTAACTTTAGAAGTCAATTAAGATGGCTACAACTAGTGGACATTAGCTTACGCCAAAACGTCAGTTTCATCAATATTGAGCTAAAAGTTGATGTGGTCGTAGCTGACTGTCACACTTAACGCCGTGAGCGTGACATCTCGCATAATCGCACAAGATTGTGTGTTACTTTAGTGTAAAACATTGAAGATGCTGGGTGATATGTAGTCCTTGATAGAACGCTAGACCTTTAATTTGTCTTATCGTGGCTGACTTAACATCCATTTACAGACTTCTCTTTTTTCAGAGAGCTGTGCAAACACACTTCTCTCCTGCTGGGCCAGATGGAAGGCAGACTGGTGACATGAAAGGAGACAATGATAAAGCAGCCATGATCAAAACAATGTCAGGACAATGACGTTTGTCTTATCTGGGAACAGGGTTTCCTCCGAACAAAGTTCAGCTGCGCTCACAGAACCTGCTGAACAAATCAGACTCAAGATTTAAGTGATTATAACCTTAAAACTGCTCACACTGAAAGAAAACAACCCTTAGAGAGGTTTCACCATCCAAAAATCAAAGCTTTGGATCAGCTGCAATTAAAAAAAATAAGAATATTTTACATTGTTATGTTTTTTTTTAATTATATCTATCATGAGTGGTTAAGTGGCAGTAACAATACTCCATTAGTATTTTTAGAATTAAAACTTAAAATGGATCTAAAACCAACAAGATGGTGATGTCACAGAAATCAATAAATCAATAGAAAATTCATAACGAAAACTATAAGCACTCAGCTTTGGCAAGGTCTTTTAAGGTAACTTCAGGTTCTGCTGGAACGTCTAGAGCAAGGGGTCTGCAACCTTTTAGATCCAAAGAGCCATTTCTACTCTTCACTTACGAAACAAAAGCCGCAAAACCTGCTCCAACAGCGATTATCAACTGGTGGCTCATGGGCCACTTAAAATGTGTATGACAGGTTTTGTTGTTGTTTTTTTCCCAGCCATTGGGGGTGACTTTATAAAACAAAAATATATAATGAATTTTCCTTGCACAGAGATTGCTGGACATGGGCACCGGTGACCCCCGTGACCCAAAATGGAAGAAGCGTGTAAAAGATAATGGATGGATGGATGTCAATGTGACTTATTAAATTTTTAGTTTCAAAACAACTTTTGTATTTACTTTAACTTGAATTAGGTCTGTTCTTTATTAGCACCATATTTCTTCTAGGCAACTTGTCCGAAAGGTATTCTAAAGAATTTCTGATGGATCTGAGAGAACAATCCCAACTTAAGGCCAGATGTTGGGTAAATGAAGTAGCTAAATCTAATCATCATTATTTTCTCTAATTTCATTTAAACATTTGGAGAAAAACGGCTAAAACTAGACATTTCTCTTTACTGTGGGTATAAAAACCAATGACTTTACATTTTTCATTATGTTTGGTGAAAACGTCAAGGAGCAGCAGACCAAGGACCAAGAGCCACATGTGGCCCCAGAGCCGCAGGTCTAAAAGACGGGGCGACAGATTTCCCATATTTAAAGACAAAAGGAACTCTGTCATTATTGTGATGAATGCTCCAGTTGCCTAAAGTGAACTGACGTTTGTGGAGAATTTATGTCTGTTCAACAAAGCTGACCTGACCGACTCGTTGATGTGATGTGCTCATTTCCAAAACAAAGCAGATGACAAATAAATGCTTTATAGGTTTATCTTGACACAACATGAATTATTTCCTGCAGTTTTAGACAAGCAAATATAAGATTTCTCAAATAGTCTTAATTTACCAACACAAAGTTTAGTTTTTTTATTGAAGTGCTGAAAAGGTCAAAACTAAAGTATAATAATTATCACCCACTGTCATGAATGAGCAGACATAGATGTGTGTGTGAACAACTAATTGATTATCCTGATGCATGCTCAATAATCCAGGTAGAAAAATCTAAAAAAAAATTAAATCTGATCCTCTGGACATTCAAAACAGGTGAAAAGGAGGAACCCAGACCCAGACCAGTGGTCATTCCATATGTTGAGGGAGTATCAGAGAAACTGAGACGTTTATTTTCTAAACACAACGTCCCAGTGGCTTTTAAACCCCAAAATACATTACGGCAAAGACTGGTTCATCCCAAAGATCCAGTCCCCCGGCACAAACAGAGCAATGTTGTGTATGCTGTTCAGTGTCAGGAGGGCTGTGATCAGTCTTACATCGGGGAAACTAAACAGCCACTGGCCAAAAGGATGGCCCAGCACAGAAGATCAACATCATCAGGCCAGGACTCTGTGGTCTACACTCATCTCCAGGCCAGCGGTCACTCTTTCAGGGATGAAGATGTTCACATCCTGGACAGAGAGGAACGATGGTTTGAGAGAGGAGTAAAGGAGGCCATCTTTGTGAAAAGAAATCATCCATCGTTAAACAGGGGTGGAGGCCTACGTGTTCAATTGTCCCCCTCTTACAATGCTGTGATTGCTAGTATCACTCAGCCCTCTGTGAATAGTAAACAGCCATCAGTGTGCTAATCATCCATTGTTAGGCTGATGGTCCTTCTTGAGCATGTGATCAGCTGGTTTGGTTGTCAGCAGCAAAACTGGTTGATCCACTCTGAGAAGGTGCTATTTAAGAGACTGAGTTGAAAACAGCACCTCAGACTGAGGAAGTCTCTCGGATGAGAGACGAAACGTTTCTACATTTTTTTGTTGTTATGTTTTTTTTTTTTTTTGAATGTCCAGAGGACCAGATTTAACTTTTTTAGACCTAATTGATTAACTTTTAAAGCCAACAAAATTCAGTATAGCAAAATATGAAAAACACACTCTCAGCAGGGTCCTGGAGGGTGAGTGGGAGTTTGCCCAACCAGTCTACATGTGCTTTGTGGACTTGGAGAGGGCGTTAGACCGTATCCCTTGGGGAGCCCTGTGGGAGGTACTCCAGGAGTATGAGGCACCAGGCCCTTTGATACGGGCTGTTTGGTCCCTGTATGACCGGTGTCAGAGCTTAGCCCGCATTGCTGGCAGTAAGTCGGGTTCGGTCCCATGCAGTGAGAGTTGGACTCCACCAAGGTTGCCCTTTGTCATCATTTCTGATCATAATTTTTATGGACATAATTTCTAGGCGCAGCCAAGGTGTTGAGGAGATCCGTTTTGGTGATCACGTCTCTGCTTTTTGCAGATGATGTGGTCCTATTGGTTTCATCAGGTCGTGATCTACAACTTTCGTTGGAGCAGTTCACAGCCGAGTGTGACGCGAACGGGATGAGGATCAGTTCCTCCAAATCCGAGATCATGGTCTTCAGTCGGAAAAGGGTAGAGTTCCTTCTCCGGGTCGGGGAGAAGGTCCTGCCCCAAGTGGAGGAGTGCAAGTATCTCGGGGTCTTGTTCACGAATGAAGGAAAAATGGAGCGTGAGATCGATAGGCGGATAGGTGCAGCGTCTGCAGTGAAGCGGGCACTGTACCGGTCTGTCGTGGTGAAGAGAACGCTGAGTCAAAAGGTGAAGCTCTCAATTTACCAGTCGATCTACGTACGTTCCTACCCTCATCTATGGTCATGAGCTTTGGGTTGTGACCAAAAGAACGAGATCACGGATAAAAGCGGCCAAAATGAGTTTTCTCCGCAGGGTGTCTGGGCTCTCCCTTAGGGATAGGGTGAGAAGCTCGGTCATCCGGGAGGGACTCAGAGTAGAGTCGCTGCTTCTTCACGTTGAGAGGAGCCAGTTGAGGTGGCTCAGGCATCTGGTTAGGATGCCTCCTGGACGCCTCCCTGGTGAGGTGTTCTGGACACGTTCCACCAACAGGAGGCCCAGAGGAAGACCCAGAACACGCTGGAGGGACTATGTTTCTTGGCTGGCCTGGGAACGCCTTGGGATTCCCTTGGAGGAGCTGGCCCAAGTGGCTGGGGAGAGGGAAGTCTGGGCCTCCCTACTTAAGCTGCTACCTCCACAATCCAACCCCGGATAAGCGAAAGAAAATGGATGGATAGATGAAAAACACAAAATGGTGATAATTTATTCCGTTTTACAGATATTGAGCTTAAATTTAATTAGTTATCCTCAATACATACTCCAAGCCAGGGGTGATTCTAGGATCTGACCTTCTAGGGGTGCTTAGCCCCCGGTACTGACAATGGCTCTTGGCTTGAATAATGCACCCCATGGTGTGGTTTTTGAGAAGTGCAAAAGCTTACGGCACCTGGTATTTCCAGGTGGTCTCCCATCCAAGAACTAACCTGGCCTGACCCTGCTTAGCTTCGAGATCAGATGAGATTGTTCAGGGTGGTATGATCGCAAAACTCCAACAATATCTAAAGAAAATGGGGTGTTGCTCCTGGAGGTAAGGGGCATTTACCTTCGGAACAAATTGAGGTCACCGACTGGTCAGCTGTTGACGAGCAAACTGGACTGATTGACAGGTGGCGTTGAGGATCCGACTCGTGCAAAAAATAAAATAAAATAAAAATCATAGATTTTACTGTCCCTTTTAAGAATGAGAGTGAGTGAGAGAGAACTGAGCTTCCTTACAAAATCCTAATAATAGTTTCTTTATTTTTCATGAGTTAAAATTTAGGGGTGCTTGAGTACCCCCAATAAGAAGCTAAAATCGCCACTCCAAGCACTTACAAATAAATATTCCATAAATCATGAAAAACCCTATTGTCTGGTGTTGATAAAAAAAAAAAATATGGTGACACTCCATAATATGTTCAGAACAAGATGACTGTTCTTTAATGAATGGCTTTCCTTCAAAGAAAGTTTGAATTTTGAGTTCACCGCCGGAAGTCTAGTGCAGTCTCCTTCAAAATAAAATATAAATAAAAAAAATATGACACTTTGACATTAAAAACAAGCGAATCATTCTGCGCCCTGCTTTTATGTTATTACAATTTGAGTAGTTCATATTTCCAGACACGGTTTAACATGTTTCAATGTCGCTTGTCGTGTTTACATTTTATTCCCGATAAAACCGGAAGTCCTTTTTTTGTACTCCATAATTTCAAAGGCCATGAAAGTTTACTAAAACACTCCGGTGAGTTTTATTAACGGAAGACAGCAGTTTTACGCTTTTTAGTTGCTTTTCATCATTTAGACGGAGCCCAGACAGCTCGTGACGTCTCTGCTTATCTCCCTGCTCTCTTGAAAAAGGGGCTGCGAGTGATGCAGGTGATTGGAAACACCTGCGCGCGTTGAAGGGCAGCGGCACGTGCGTGGTCCCCCACCACCGCACCGCCTCCCCCACGCGCTCCCTCGAGCCCTCAGCGGAGAACCTCTCCCTTAAGTTTTGATTTATTTATTTTATTGTTTACTTCTGCGTGATGGGGAAACGAATGTTGATGTCAGCCGCTGCGGGTCGTCTCCGCGCCCTCCTGCTCCTCCTCCTCACCTGCGGGAGCTGCGCCTCCTCTCCGGCTGCCTCAGACTCGCTGCCCGGCCTGGGAGGCTTCACCTACCCGTACAACAGCATCCTCTCCCCGCTGCTCAGAGCCCTGTCCGAGCACGGGGGGGCCAGGTGGGACTCGAGCCTGCGGAGGACGATGACACCTGAGCACAGGTACATGACGTACCTGAAGGAGGTCTACAAGAAGGCCTCCAGAGTTCAGAGGAGCATCGAGGGAGGTCAAGTCCACAACACCATCCGACTGATCAAACCCCAAGATGAGTGTCTTACACAAAGCAAGAAGGGTAATGGTGACTTTATTATTAACATAAACTATTATTAACATAAACTATTATTATCACTAATGGCTATCAAACTTTTCAACTCCTCCCTTTGTCTACACATAAGACAATCAAAATTAATAGTGAACTACAATAAACACTTTAATTTCTGTCTGCACCTGACCCGTTTTAGAACTTAATTGCTTTTTAATATCTATATCTTGTGCAATTCTTTGTATGTTCCCTGTACTGAAACTCTAGCACAACAATTTCCTGCAGGATTAATATAGTTCTATCTTAAATTAAATTTACACAATTTCCAGCCTAATTCCCAGGTTTAATGTGTGTAAAGGGGTTTGGGGGAACCAAATTTGTCACGCATTGCCCATCAGACAGAGAAGACGTCGAATAATTTTTTTTAAAACCTCATATCTGAACAGTCTGGTGCAAAAGTTTTAAACTGCACTTTCATTTCTTTTAGATTTTGAAAAGCAGCCAAAGTCCAAATATTGTTTACGCTCATTTCAGTCCTCTCCGTGTAACTCGTCCTATGTGAGGAAAGTGGACAACTACGGAGATGGACAGATGGATTCAGACCTGAGACAAACCATTCTTCAGTTGTTTTAAGTTTCAGCTCGGAGCTCTTTGTGAATCCTCTTGTTGGTCTAAAATGTTTTGTGTCAAACTGTCGCTGAAATGAACTGGCGGATGAATTTTATTGAAACTCAACTCAAAGTAATCATTGAATTTATTAATAATTTTTAAACTGAACCCTCCATCCTCGTTTGCCCCACTCTGGGCCCATGAACAAGGCCCTTGACCCCCTCGGCCCCCCAGCTGCTTGACTTTAGATGGCAGCCCATGCGTCACATGTGCAATGGGGAAAAATGCAGAGAATTTCCCCATTTGAATAGAGTACAATAAATAAATAAAAAAATTATTTAAAATGTTTAAGTCTTTTGTTGTAAGATATGGATAAAATCCAACCAACTTAAAGTCTTTTTTTTTTATGTAAACAAATGCTGTTTATTCATAATGGTTATTTTGGCTTTATGTAGTGAGCACATGGACATTCAGTGAGACTAACATGGTTTGGTGCCTGGAACTTTGTCGTCTTCTGTTTCAGGAACTTTTCTGCAGGATTTGTCTTACAGCCTCGATCAAGTGAGAAGAAAAGAGCGGCTTCTGAGGTCGGCCCTGCTGTACAGCTTGGACCGCGAGAACTCGGCGCCGGTCTACCCTGTGTGTTACCTGAGCATCAAGGAGCACGACCAGTCCGACCAGTGCCAGCTGTGCGCCGAGATCCACCACACTCTGAACTTCACAGACAGGAGTGGGAGGAGGAGGAGCAGCAGGAACTGGGTGGAAGTCGACGTCACCCCGTTTCTTCAGCGCTTCAAAGTGCATCAGAAGAACATGCACCTGCTCATCAACACCTCCTGCCCCGAGGAGCACGGAGCAAGACGCCACAGCTCCAGAGCGCCGCCGGAGTTCACCCTGAGGTCGCCGCCGCTCATCCTTTATCTCACCGACACGAGCAAAGTCGCCCACCAGAGGTCGAGGCCGTCGGGCACAGATCCGACGCAGAGGCGTGGGCACAAGAGATGGAAGAGGGAGTCTTTAAAAAGTAAGGCAGGCGACAAAAGCCTGGACATGCAGCTGCCCGAGCTTCTGCCGAGCTCCGAGTTCCCGACGACTGACTGCGCCCTGTACGACTTCAGGGTGCGCTTCAGTCAGCTCAAACTGGATCACTGGATTGTTTTCCCACCAAAGTACAACCCCAGGTACTGCAGAGGCGTCTGCCCGAGGGCCATGGGCTTCATCTACGGCTCGCCCGTCCACACCATGGTGCAGAACATCATCTACGAGAAGCTGGACTCGTCCATACCCCGACCCTCGTGCGTCCCCTCCCACTACAGCCCCCTCAGCGTCATGATTTTCGAAAAAGATGGCTCTTACGTCTACAAGGAGTTCAAGGACATGGTCGCCACAAGGTGTACATGTCGCTAAGCGGTCGCCATCAGATCTTCTGACCAGGCTTAGATGAATTGATCAAACTGCTGCACATAAAATAAGATCTGGAGCAGGTGTGTTTACACTATAAACATATTTTATCATCATGTTAAAGGGAAGTCTGGCTGTGTTATTTATTAATTTATTTATTTATTTGTCTTGTTCAACTTACTGTCAACAAAATATAAAGTCAACTTTTTTTTTTTTTTTTTTTAGTTCTAATTTATTTGTTGTTCTTTGACTTAACACAATTGTTCTTTTTAGGTAACACCTTGTTCTGTACAGGAAACAAACGTCTAATCACTTTTTTTTTTTACTTTTATTTTACTCCTGAACCTGCAGCGCTCTCTCCAACCTCCAGAATGAAATGCAACTATTTATTCCTCCTCGTCAGTGACTGTGTGTGTGTGTGTGTGTGTGTGTGTGTGTGTGTCTGTCTGTGTGTGTGTGAGCTCTGTGCTTTTTTTTTTTTTTTTTTGAACTGGTTAAATGTGACTAAATATCAGTGGGATGAATTCACTGCGTGTCTATGCTCAGATTATGAATACTCAAAAGGATGATGTGTACACCTTCTCTGAAAAGTGGGGAAAATTAAAAACGTATAAAAAGATTATGGTCTTGCTGAATATGTATCAATGTTCCAAGAGTATATTTCAGAGATGGACAGCAGAACTGATTAAATTTCAATAGCTTATCAGCCTGAAGATGTGCGGTTGTCTTTTAATGACTGGTCGGATCAGAATACCTGAGTGGTGTCAATATCATTTTGTCCATAACGTTCCATGAAATGGAAGATTTGTCTTTGACATCTGGCTCATAAAAGTGAAAAATAAAACGTATAGAAAGCTTTGCTAACCCAATAAAACATTCTAAAATGCATGATGCATTAAAAACAAACTGGTCATGGCTGTCTGTTTGGGTAAAAATTCTTGTCTTTTGGCCATCAAGACCTTTTTAATATCTTTAGTGTTTCTGTATTTGTAGCTTTTTAAATGTGGATGTCTGATTTAAGCCTTTGCCTTTTTTTGAGTATACCTATTTATTCCTTGTTACTTGTAATTAGCACTTGGCTGTAGTTAAGGAAAACTGAATCAAAATTATTTTCACAAGTCTGTTGCAGGTAAGCTCCTAAACCTTACTTTTCTCACCATGCAACTTTGACCAAAAATGTATATTTTTTTCAAATTCAGAAATTTATTTAAATTTTTTTTTTCTTTTGAGTTAATAAAACTGCAGAGCAATTGTGCCTGCACTGATTCTAAGCACCGTCCAAATCCCCTTGTTTAATTTGAGTATGTTTTGATTCCAGGAAGCCAGGCTTTCTTGTGCCTTAGCTCTCCAAATTTTATGACGGTCATTTGAAAGTTTTACTTTTTGAAGTTTGTCTACTTTTTCTGGCCAGTTCTTGTAGCACAGCAAGACTTTGAATTTTTTTTCTCATTTCATTTTCATTTACCCTCCATTTATACAGGTAGTCTCATTGAGCCACGAGAACTTATTTTCAAGAGAGACCTGTTTAGGGAGCAGATGGTGGGGGTTAAGGGTCTTGCAAGACTTGGAATGAGTGGGGGACATAGCTGAAGTCCAAGATCTCCTAAAATACCCAAACACATATTGCTTCACATCACTTAACGATTATAATAGTCTGACTGACTGAAAGCAAAGCAGTAAGAACTGTAAAATTATTTTTACAATTGTGCTATTTTATCCTAGTTCTTCAACACAAACCTATAAAATCATGCCTGCAAGAGGCTTTAGCCTGAGAAAAGGTTTGCTGCCGTTTTGGTTATTAACGCAAATTACACGGTGCCCTACCCAATTGTTAAATTTCCATCATGCGAGAGCCTGCAACATGAAGCTTCACCGCTGCAGTATGCGCCTGTCCATCAGGTGGCGCTGGTGCCCTCAGCGTCCACAAACAAGCAAACACCAACCCGGAAGTGTCCGAATAAACACGACTGTCAAGAGGCAGAACGGTGAGTCTCAAGGTTATGAATCAAAATGTGTATTTATTCGCTTTCGTCGTGTTTTATATATGTCATGTGTCATTTATCAGAGTTTGTATAATGTGTTTTAGCAGAGTGACTTCAGCCTTTTTGAGCGCAAGTAAAAAACAAAATTCGGGTCTGTCATATTTAGCAGCTAGCGCTAACCAACGCTAGTTCAGCTCAACTACTGTCGTTTTGTAATTTGATTTTCAATATTTATCAGAAGCCAATTGAAGTTAGTTTCTTGTTCAGAGCTGTAACTCATGCGATCTGGTCCAAAAACACGTTGAAAACGTATTCAATAAATTGGTTAGCATGCCAATGCTATAATCGCCCTACAATTAATTTAAGTTCAAACAAAGTTCAACACTGACACAGGAATATTATATTTTATCTGATCATGCTAAGATAAATGTAATTAAAATAAATATCACTACTAAAACTGACAAGTTTATGGCAGTAGTTTTGTCGTGACTGCTGGGTTTAGCTGAGAAGAAAACTCAGGGCGATTTTAACTAATTAGGTTTAAAATGGAAGTTAAATAAAACATTAAACAAAAATATTAATATCGTTTGGTGTTTCTATAAAATATAATTGCGTGGGAAATGTGTGAATATAATTTATAACAGATAATCAATTTTAACAGAATAAAGCTAAACATTTTCAGTTAATTATTGCATCTTCATGGATGGAGTAATTTATTTAAATTTCATGTTAATTTCAAATATTTAAATCTAACTTTTTCATCGTCCAACCCACAAACTAATAGTGGCAGAGACGTGTAGCTTTTACTGATCATTAAATTGTACAAATGTTGTCAAAAACTTGAGGTTACTAAGAGCTTTAAAGATAATGTCAATAAAAATTATAATATTTTTATCTGGTAACAAATATTGTGTATAATTTCTACTCTGTTTAAATGTTTAAATTAAGCTATTGGCAAACATTTTAAATTTACATATTTTTACAAATCTTTTTGAGACACTAAACTAGGTGTTTTATTCACACAGTGGGGTCCTGTCCCCTAATGTCAGTTTAAATGACATTTCCTTAGTGTATGTGCAGATGTGATTGGGTGTTTGCTTACAGTCTTAATGTTGATTTTTCAGATCATCTCATCTGTGAACATGGGCCTCCATTTTGGAAATCTGTGCAAGGTCAGGCATGTAGTCACATTCAGTTTGTCCCCCTTTGAGCAGAAGGCTTTCCCCAACTTTTTCACCGAAGCATGCCCAAATACGTGGAGAAGGTTCAGGGGTTCGTTCATAAGAATCGCTCCTCGTAAGTTCTCGCATCTTTCTGTAATTATTTTAGTATTTGATGTTTTAACGTTCTTGTCTACTAGAACTCCTCATGATTGCTACCACTCATTAAACTTTGATCACGTATTCCTTGCCATCTAATATGTTGAAAAATTGCAGAAAGGGTCTGAGTAACATTTGCATATCAAATTTGGCTGCATAACTTTTATGGTACTTACATTCTGTTGATTTGTCCTGCTGTTTGCAGATGTGGCTTTATTTTTTTTGATCTACAACTGGGGCAACTCCGTCAACAAACAGAGCAAAAGGAAGAACCCTGCTGACTACGAAAACGATGAATAAACATCCACCACCTCTCCAGAAGCTCCTGTCTTTTCCAACTCTGTCTAACCAATAAAGATGAAGCAAAAGAAAAAAAAAAGTGAAATCACTTTTTGTGCAAATCAATCAGACCGGTTTGATGCTGTTATTTATACAAAGATGAAACTCGCTCGATTTGAAATCAAAGTTCTGGTGTGCATTTAATTTTTCATCTGTTGAAAACTAAATCTCGGAGGCAGGACCACTGATTCGGGACTGAAGGTCCTGGGTTCGATCCCCATTCATTGCACATCTCGTGGTGTCTGAGCAGGACACATTATGCCCTGTTGCTCCCGGGCACTCCCAATAGCTGCCCACTGCTCCACCTTGTGGTGGATGGATTAAATACAGAGAGCCATTTTCGCCCGCCGTTGTATGGGAACATACAATGATGACAATACATAACACATTATGTATATATGTGTGTGTGTGTCAGTCAGAGTCAGAGTTTCTTTATTGTCATTCGCACCTCATGTGGTACATGTGGTGGAGCGAAATTATGTACACAGGGTCCCAGTTACATCCAACAATAAAATGTCTAAGAAAAACAGTAATAACATCTAAGATATGAACTAAGAAAAACATCAACTAAATATACACTAAGCACTCATAACATAAAACATTGAACATCAGCACAAACATGAACATGAGTCTGTGAGCAGATGTGCACGCATGAACACATCAACATTGAAACAGATCAGCAGCAACATGA